AAAATGAGGTCACGTGTCACCTCTGACACGCATGTCATAGGTTCGCCGTTACTGCTGTAGAAGGTTGCTAGCCTCTCAGTCAAGGGATTTCAGCTGTCCTCAAGTCGGTGGTTTGGTTGTCCTTGTTGATCTGGCTAGCGGGCGGCATCATTGGCGACTGGCTTCCCGAAGCGTCGAGTTGAAGGGCTGGATTGTGGGTCCATCAGGGCCGCGCTTGATGGTGGTGTCGGTGTCCGGGGAGGAATCAGGTGTGTCCTCTGGGTCTGCTGATATGGATGATGCAGGGGAGGAGGAGAAGGAGGCGGAGATGGAGGGTGGTGTGACATAAGGTTGGACTAGTCAGTCTGGAATCCACACAGGTGAGTCTGCATCCTGTGGAAATATACAAGTGTAGCCTCTCCCAGGCGGGGGGGGCTTACCTAGGGAAATCCTGTTCAGGCACCAGAGAAATACTAAGGACTCCCAGAGGGCAGGTCCAACTCCGGAGGCCAGCAGGCCTTTCAATGGGAAGGCAAGCAAAAGCTCAGCTTGTCCCCCCAGGCCGCGAAGTTTCCCCATCTGTGCCTGGGAGAGTGGTTTTGGAGATTTTTTTCCCTTGCAGACTTTTCTTCCCTTTGTTTCCACCTGTTTCATTTCCGTTGCTTCTCCATCTTCTCTGAGGTCTTGCTGGAATCTGCTGGACTCTGGTCCCCGGGATTCATGGAGGATTTCTCTATGATGACCAAGGCCTCTTTTATGTAGTTCTGCATGGCAGACACGGCGGCACAGATGGCCTGGCTGCCAAACCCGTGGGTCATCAGGCTGAAGTGAGACAGGTGGTTCTGAATGTTCGCCTCTAAGACCGGGGCCGGCCGGTTGTTCCCATTGGGCGTTTGGTCTCGGTGGAGAAGGTCCGTGAATTCTTGACACACTTGCTGCGCGGCCAGCAGCATGTTCTTCCTTGCCGCCATCTCATTCCGTCCTCCGAGGTGAGGTCTAGTTAAGTACTCGGCCACTGCCTTACTAGGAAACTCAGCTTCACAGGCAGACCCAAAGTCCCGAGCCAAGTGAACGGCCTCCCCTTCTACCAAGGACGTGAGGAGGGTGACGCGGGCAGCCTTCTCTCTGCCGGCTGGAAGGTCCAGCCCAGTCTTGTGCAGCTTCTCCCGCAAGGACCGGCCTCCGTTTTTACACTTGGCTCTTCTGAGAACACCTCCCAGGATTGAGGCATTTAAGCACTCAGTCGGGGACAATCGCCTCTGGACTTCGGCTACTGTCACTTTGTATTTGGACGTGGAGCCCAGGAGGGACAGTCTTCCTGTGGCCCTACCTTTTCGAATCACAGTCTGATCATGTAGAAGCAGGTGCTGCTCATCCACGATCTGGGGGAGAAATGACAAAGTTTCCTTTAAGTTCCGGGGTGCCTGGGCTGGGGGCTGGGATAGAGTCCGGGCAGGAGGGGGCAAGACCCTAACCGCACTCACCTGCACCTCGTCCATCTGTTGCCCCATGTCATGAAGGCCCAGGTTCTCCGCCCGCCCCGCTGCGTCCAGGGCGTGCCCATCCCTGTGGGCGCTCAGAGCTCCGCAGTCCAGCCCGGAGAGATGGGGTAGCAGGCAGGCCGGGCGTCCGTGGTGCGAGGGCAAGCCCGCAGCCTCCTGGCTCTGGCGGCCGGGGCAGGCCTGCGGCTGACCCCCGGCGGGCACCGGCTGGTGCAGGGGGTTGATGGCAGCGTTCGCTTCCCCCAGATGCGAGTAGGGGTCCCACCAGCTCCTTCTGACAGGGGAGACTCAAGGCATTCTTGGTCATTGAAATGGGACCTTGGCGAATCCCAGTCTGATCATGCAGAAGCAGGGGCTGCTCATCCACCCTCTGCACCTCGTCCATGGGTTGCCCCATGTCATGAAGGCCCAGGTTCTCCGCCCGCCCCGCTGCGTCCAGGGCGTGCCCATCCCTGTGGGCGCTCAGAGCTCCGCAGTCCAGCCCGGAGAGATGGGGTAGCAGGCAGGCCGGGCGTCCGTGGTGCGAGGGCAAGCCCGCAGCCTCCTGGCTCTGGCGGCCGGGGCAGGCCTGCGGCTGACCCCCGGCGGGCACCGGCTGGTGCAGGGGGTTGATGGCAGCGTTCGCTTCCCCCAGATGCGAGTAGGGGTCTGCCCACTGGGAATAAGTCAGCGGCTGGTAGGAAGGTGGAAAGGAGGGTGGTGGCTGGTATTGGGCGACTCCGGTATGAGAGAGGGGCGGCGCGGGGCTATAGAGATGTTGCCCGGTCGAGGAGAGGTGAGGGGGAGGCGGGTTCCCATTGCTGCTCCCATCCTGGCGATCCTGGGGCGGGGAACCTCCAGGCTCTCTGCCGCCGGAGGCTCTCTCTGAGCTCCAGGCCCCGGAGGAAGGCCGCACGCCGCGCACTTTGTGCAGGGCGCTCTCACTCACCCGCTCACACATGTTCACTTCGCCTGTTCTGTCGCCAGATGTTGGGGTCCAGCCCCAGCAGGTCCAGGGGTTCCCAAAGGTGTGGACGGAATCCACGAAGAAGGAATGACAGGGAGACAGCTTTCAGTTGATCAGCAGCCTAGCCAGGTTCTCCAGCCAGGATCTGTGTTTATTCTCCTGTTACATCTGTATTTATACCACTTGATGTTAATCCTATCCATTCTATTCCAAAGGTTAGGGTGTTTGTTAATCTAGTTCTGTTGAGTTTAATCCTATCCATTCTATTCCAAAGGTTTGAGCGTTTTAATCTAGTTCTGTTGAGTTTAATCCTGTCTAGGTTAATCTCTGTGTTCCATTATAAGGCCTGGCTTAGAGTTTTATTAAATACATTAAACCTGGTCGCAGGAACCTACCTTAGTTTTTCTGTCCCCCCAGTACTGTGAGCCTGTATAATGGAGGAGGGCCTGGGAATTTGTTAAACATTAATCTGTTCTCTTAGAGGATACAGAAGATTATAAACATATAAATCAATATTTTTTCTTTTATTTTAGGACAGTAAAAACCAGACCTGCAAAAATATTGTTGCATATATAATATTTGTGTGAATGACAAATGAAGGTAGTTGTTTACTAGCTCATATATGTTTTTTAAAAATGACTTGGGGAAATCACCCAAACATCTTAATACCAAGGATAACTATTTCTCTTAAGTAATGAAAAGAAATCCTTTAAAAAATAATAAATCTTATAAGTGATATATTTTCCTATTTCAAGTTGACTACTAAAAAGAGCCAAATATATAGCTCACCCCAGTGATGTACAACTCACTTTGTCTTCACCTTTTTTTTCTTTCAAACAACTTTTAATTTATGCTAATTTGCATTTTATGTATTTGTATAAGCTGCTCTATATGCTTCTGGTACAAGGTAATGTATAAATATATAAATAATGATGACTAGGAGCAAAACAGCAGTGTCTTTTACTCAAGAGTGTAGATTTATCTTAATTCTGTAGAATTTAATGGTGCAAACAGTAAAGAGTCAGTTAGTGGTTCTTAGAATTAGAGCATTAATCCTGACTTAGACAGCTGGTCTGACCTTAGGTGGAACAGGCATTCTCCAGTAGCCGGAAGAAAAAGGTAAAAACACTGCAGATTATTTTTACCTCTACATTGTCTACATCTTGGATTTTAGTGAACATGACTGTTCACTGTCAGAGTGGTTTATTTTTGCTTTATTCATAATAGTCAATGCTTTGCATGCTGCTGCCATTTAGTGGAAGTCACTAAATATCTACTGACTGATTATATATTAGAACTTATTGTTAACTGATCATTGAATTCCAAAATATATGTGTCATAGCTATAGTTAGGTTAAATGGAGTGAAAACTCCTTAAAAATTCAAGGACTTATTCTAGATTTTATTCTTTTCCTATGCTATCTTTTAAGTTGGTTTTTGGTGCCAAATAAATTATCAGGTAATACTTTTAATGACATTACATCTGCAAGAATATTAATTTGCAGTTAGTCAACGAGTGTAAATCCCAACTTTGCTTTTTATCAGTATCGCCTAATCTCTCTGAGCTTTAGTTTCCTCAGCCATAAAATGGGCAAGGTAATTGTTTCTTTCCAGGACTGTTTGAGGATTAAGGAGCATAATGTATATAAAGCTGGGGTACTTCCAGAACAAATTAGCTTCTTTCATCTTCCTGTTGAATAAATAAGTGAAGAAATAAATTGGATTCCATATTTAAGGATGAATTAAGAAAAATTAAAATTATTAAAAATAAAGGGAAGTCAAATTTATTAAGAAACGTAATAAGACTAAGTAAGAAATACAATCTTAAGACTTACGTGAAAAGTTCATGCTTTTGCCATTACACTACACTATCTGCCTATGGAGGCATTTACCTGTAAATGTATACAGCATATAGAAAAAACAGATGGGTCCGCTTTGATCAGGTGATGGGAGCTACATTGCCAGGAAGCTCGTGACTAAATGTTGAGCTTAATTGCAGTAGTTCTGACAAACTAAGGTTTTCTGGTATAATTTCTGTGACATACCTTCATTAGTTCATCTTCAGTCTATTCTTGTTTTAATTATTACTTTAAATGTGTTTATCATACATTGCTTTCAGTCTTTTAAAATATTGATGAAATAAATTGTTAGCATTTCTTCAAAGAGGTTTGGGCATGAATGAGGGAGGTGGGGGGTAATGAGGGGTTAAGGACACATATGTAATACCTTAATAAAGCAAAAAATTAAAAAATAAATTGATAGGAAAACTGATCAAATAAATGCAATTTCAATAAAAATTTAATTTTGTGTGCCACATGAGCACTGGGACTAACAGGAGTTCAGTACCTGGGTTCTGTATTGGCAGGAATCCTTCAATTATGGAAGTAACTGCACTGTTTTCAATAGATGTTTTAAGAGTTAGCTAGACAGAACATCCTGGAAAACTTCAGAGTCAGATCGCTGACAGAAACTCCCCTTCCTTAACTATGTTAAGCTAATTAAACAGTAAATATAAAAGAAACTAATGTTGGCTTTTGATGAACTGTCAGTGGAGCAGCTTCTATGGGCAGGGGCTTTTGATGATCTTTTTTCATTGGATGTGGTTTATTTTATTTTTTATTGTTTAAAGTATTACATGTCTCCTTTTCTCCCCATTGACCCTCCCTGCCCACTCTCAACACCCAGGACAAGCCTCCACTGCCCCAGTGTTCATGTCCATTGCTTATGTTAATATGCGTGCATACAAGTCCTTTG